ATTAGACCTTTAACCTAGCTGAAAAAGATGAGCAAGCCTTTGATAACAGGCATTTGTCTAATCTATATATGAATGTGTTCATGTTAACTATGATTTGGCTCTGTGTATTTCAGTTGTTATTGTAGCATGAGTCAAGAAATTTGTATAAAACTTACTAAAATTTATTTATAAAAATAACATGTTCTTGTAAACGAGATACAATTAAGATCAGAACATGAAAACAGTCAGAACTCTTTCCTTAGCAGACTCTGCAGGAGAGCAATATTGTTATTTGTACTGCCTGGACAGTGTATAATACTTTGCAGCACTCAATAACATGACTTAGACCTTGAGAGAAAAGTCAGCTTTTCAGAAGAAATCAGGGTGAGGTACCACCGCTAAAAAGGTTTATATGTACAAGGGGGAAAAAAATATGCCTTCAGAGACTCATGGGTGTTGACAGTTACAAGGATTTCCTATTTATTAAAATGCATAAGCCAAGAGGTGAAACCGATACATTCCAGGACTTAATTCTCCAGTAGAGCAGGAGTCCATAATTCTCTTTTGTTGGTAAGATGGAGATGTATACACAGTAAACAAAGCTACTGTCCTCAGATTCTGCAGGATGATGGCCCCATAGGTAGTCCAGAATGTGAAACTGAGTTCTTGGTTTTGTTGCAGAGTTTTCTTTGATCTTGAACTCATCTCTAAGGCTATATTTGCAAAGAGCTTAGGCACCAGAATGATTGTTAAAGCTCATGCCAATGTGTTGGGCACTTGAATTTTCCCTGGAGAGGTCCCCAAGATACTCAGTGCCAAAACAAAGGCAGGGCTAAGCAGCTTAGGACCTTGGGAAATCAGACTCCAAAAAATCCTTATTTCTTTGCTCAAGACTCTTTTCAGCCTAGTGTGTTATACATGTTCAGAACACACCAAACATTGACTGTCCTCCATGCTGGACTACTGAGAATTCCATGGATTTGACTGACTTTGAGCTTGGGAAATGTCAACATATCTCCCTAAATGCACCTAGTAGCAGCTCAGAATAAGATGTCTACATGTCCTTCATGGACTTAACTCACTCTCTGCTCTCCAATTTTCCATTTGCAAAATGGAGGAGGTAATACATCCCTATTTTGCTTGGACATATAAACAAGAGTAGCAAAGGAACTCAGAAGTTCTCGGGAAAAATAAGGTGTCATTCATCAGCTGCTATTTAACAGAATTAACGATACTATAAAGCTGCCTAAAAAAGATAGTGTCAAAGGGGTTAAACAGATCAGAATCATAGCCTATGTGAAACATTCCCGTTTCTACTTTTTTTTTGCTGAAATTTCATATCTGGAAAAGCTTTGTCTCTGGCAGCCCAACATATTTTCCTTGATAGTGGTCCTTAACCCATGGTAGTGACTTTTTGAAATGCTTTATTAACTTAAAAAAAAAAAAAAAAAAAAATCACCAGATGACTTATAACAATGATTCATATTATTGTTATTGCTCATTATTATCATTTGTCATATGAGACAATGCCTGGCTTAGCATTTTTCCTCTTCAAAAAGAGAAATCTGGCTCAGCTCTGAAAGCTCAAAATTATGTTTATTATACTAGCAGAAACATGTTTATTACACTGTCATGTTTTTATATCCCTCCTGCTACCTTGTGAAAAGCATACTTTTGCTCTGAGCAAACTGTGAAAATTTTACAAGGTTTTGCTCTCTGTGATCAAATCATTGATCCACTGAGTTCAACAGCCTTATGTGATAGTAGCCTGTGTCTGACCCAGCAGATTGCCCTTTATCTCTCAGGAGCGTACCTAATTCTGAGAGGCACTCCATAGGGAGGATTCATTCCCCACTCCTAATCCTGATTCATCAGATTTCCTAAAATGTTCTTTCTTTCCTAAAATGTGAGATGGGAATAGTTATATGCTGCTTTTCTGCATGATTATTAGCATAGTGGTATGTGATCAAGAGGAAAAGCAGCAAGAGACATATGTAATAATTGAACATAACGGTGATAAAGAAAAACTAATGGCAATGCTATTTGCATCCTGCAGCTGTAATATATTTATGGAAAACCTTGGCTCAGAGTCTTTCCAAGCACTTAACTGAGCCCTTTGGACTTCTGAGCCACACTGAGTCCACAACTTTTGATGGTAACTTCTGCCAAGTGACTTTTTGAACACAAATACTGATCAAAGAAAATCACACTATAGAAACCCAGTCACAAGTGATAATTCTTTATTGTGTACCTTATCTGAAAGACACTATCTTTCAGTCCTGTAGTCTGGAAATGAGATTTTTCCTTCCTGAATTCTATCATTTGGTCTAACAATTGACATTACCTTTCCCTGCAAATCTAGCTTTGTGAGGATTGTTTATGCTTTGGTAACCAGTGGGATGTTGTTAGAAACCCACTAGAGCTTCATGGTGGCATAAAATCCACCCAAGCAGTTTTCTTGGTTTTGTAGTGATGTAAATATTTATTGACATAGTCACAGACCCAGTTGGATTAGCCAGACATGGTCAGCACACTTTGGTTGCAGTTCGTATAGGGCTGCAATATTATATAAAGCGCTCTCCCTTCACTTCTGAATTTTAGTGGTGTTGCATCAGAACTGGTGCCAATGAACACAATTCTTCAGTCACTCAAAACACTATCAGTAAAGGAAAGGAACCCATGACAGACAAGCCTGGTTTCCCATTTCTTGCTGCACAGATCCCAGCTAAGCCTGAACCAGAGAGGAACGATTCTAACACTATAGTTCCACAACTAGCTTAAGTCAACATAAGCAAATGCTGATGCTAAAGGAGGCAGTGCCAACTTCCCACTGACCCAATCACTGTTTTCACTCTCCTTACTTCCCCAGTGACTGCGAATAGTTATACATACATATGTGAGGGAGGAAAAAAGGGCTCATTTTAACCTAGAGCATTGCCCCAATCCCACTCACTGTGTGGTTGCGTGAACATCTGGCAGAAAGGAGAGAGGGAGAAGTGGAAGTGGCAGTAAGCAGGCACGGGTGAGGACTGGAAGGTAAGCCAGACTGCTTTTTCTAGTTCAAGTTGATTGGAGAGCTATAGAGGAGCATGTAGTGCTTGCATGGAGTTCCCTCAGGATGAGAGATTAGTGGAGGATGGGGTACGTGAAAGCAGGAGGTTGACTTCTCTGGTCCATTACACCTGGATTAGGCAGATGATACGAAACTAGTTTTCTCTGAAATAGCAAAAATGCCTCCAGAATTTTTTAACCTAGTCTGAACATAGCTAAAGTACCCTTCACTAACAAAGTGCTTCATTTTATCCATGATGACATTTAAAATCAAGTGCTGATAATTTCAAACAAAATATAATCTAGTCAAGTTGCTGTTTTAAATCAAAAGAAGTCTTTTTTGTTGTTGTTTTTTTAGAGCAAAAGCACTTGCCTCAAAAAGTTTTTGTGTTTCGAAATACTATACTGAAAATAATGTTTCTTAATAATGACTCTCATAACAGTATCACTTAAAACAATTAAATCAATTAGTTCAATAAAATTCTTCAGCTGATTTGCAATATTTTGGCACTGTGAGTACTTGAGTTTACTGCCTTTCCACTTAATGAAAGACTGGTTCCTGTAGCAATTATGCTCTGTTTAGTCTGCAGCAAGAATACTTTCCATTACTCATCCCCTACTGTTATCAAAAGCCTTTATTGCTGGTTTTTTTTTTCATTTTCTCTTTAATCCTAAATTAACAGAGTTTATCCCAGTCCTTGCTTGCTAGAACTCTTGAGAAAAAAATTATTTAGATATCTATTATTGCTAAAGTGTCATGAACATAGGTAAATCTGCTCTGTAGTATGAAGGAGATTATCCCCAAAACAAGCACTGATTGCTTTAGGCTTAATTTTAAAAATGGTAGATTTGAGTGGTCATAAACAAACATGAAGAAGTAGAGGGGGAAAAAAAGCAATTGTTTATCATGAAACATTAAATAGCCTACATGCTCTTTTCATAGACCAGGTAATCAGGCATCTCTTAAGATTAGATAATTGTCAATCAAGCTCTCAATTCAAACACAGCTGCTGAGCATTGGAGATGAACAAAGCCAGGCTCTTCACTGCAGTTTCAGCACCTGACTTAAAATCAGGGTATGGAAGGTGGGAACCGCCTATAATTCCATAAAAGCTATAAAGCACTCAGGAAAGAAGTACATAGCAAAAGGATCATTCTTTTTGTAGCTGAAAGAAAATACATTTATGGTGCTGGTTAAGATGGTGCTTAGTGAGAAAATTTGTTAGTATATATATTTTTATTATTACTTAAAAATATTTTTTTGACTTACAATAGGCAGTTATTTCTTTTTATTAATTTATATTACTAAAAGCTTTTTTTCTTTGCTCACCAACTGAAATGAGCATGCCAAAGAAGACTGCAAATACAATGCAATGAATAAACATCAATCCTGCAAAGGTGTTTTTTACTTCACTCTTTCTTATTGAAATGTAATGGAAAATTAGATATACAAGTACTGTTAGAACAGAATTATATTTAATTTACTTCTGAACCATTAGTTTATGTGCCTCTTTATGCATAGTATTTTAAAATATATTTATCATTTTATAAGTTTTGTAACTTGTTCATTTTGACTTTGTTAAGCACAATATAAATCAAAATCTGGATATAAATGTCTCACAGGAAACAAACTTTTTTTGCACTACATGGTGTGCACTGCTATTATTTATATGGTGTTACGTAATTTTGCACAAATATTGATTACTAATTTCGTAAAACTGAAAAGCACAATTCCCAGGTTATGTCCATGACCTTAAAAAAAGTCTAAAGAAAACAACCTCATTACGAGACATACCTTGCAATAGATGTTTGCTTAACTGGAAATCCGCAAGAGCAGCTGCCCAGTGCAACGGTACATATTTGCTTCTGAATCCTTTCTCAAAGGCACTATTTAAACATGTTGATGAAATGAACTGCATTTCTCCCCACCTCCATTTAAGCAAAACAAAGAGACTCCGAAGACAAAATATATTTTGTTTTTGCAAGTAGCATAATATGGTAAGTGAGAAATTTGCTTTCTATAGTATTATTTGGGTCGGAGTTTGGGAAACATCCCTATTCCTATGCAGATTCTGTGTCTCTGCGTACTGCTCGGTCATAATTCTATTTGAAAGTGAATATACTTCTATTTCTAGAAGTGTTTGTGTATGGAGCTCATACTTATCCATATTTGGCTCGATATTATCTAGCTACTCTCGTTTCACCACTTTGGCAAGAGGAAATCAAGAGCTGCTGTACAGAGGATATCAGTCCAATCCAAGATACAGGATTTCTTCCAGGTTTTATTCTGATTTACCTTAGACCACAAATTGGTGACAAAGATGACAAAGGTTTTTATGATGTGGGTAGCTGGACTAGCTATCGATTGATTTCACGGAACATCTCCAGCAGCAGCCAGTGATAGCATTGATTTTTTTTCAGTTGCCGTTGTCCTGGGCGAGGTTCAATGCTGTGACTTAGAGGTAAAAGTATCTGTCTCCTGAGCCAATCATACTGGCCAGTTTTCACTTCCTTTCTGGGCTCTGCTCTAGCTTTTTTTCTGCCAATGTCTGTATGGGAATTCATTCAACCTGTCAACACGAAACTTGAATTAGCAGGAGAAATTTCTTCAATATTTCCTTCTCTCTTGGAGGTGGCTTGTCACTTTCTATAGCAATTCAAGCTCCAAAAAAAGGAATCTGAAGTGTCAAATGGCAGGACGTTAATGGAACATTGTTGAGATGACGTCACACCTTCTCTCCTCCTTTTTTGGCCAGGGATGTAAGTTGTAAGAAGGGGCTTGATCCAACATTCCTTCTACTCGTGTGTTTAGCATTTATGCATGTCATCAACTTTGCTCTTGCTTGGAAGAAGATGTGGGTAAGGAAGATATTTTCTTGGAGTAGGAACATTTTTTTCCAAAGTAAAATGACAAAGTAAAATTTCCAAATAAATGACAGAGTGAAAGATAAGCAATGCTTTTAAGAGGAGAGGGTGTCCTGTGCCACCTATTTTAAACAAAACAAAAAGTGTCTACCAGGCTTTTGCATTCTCCTTTGTTCTGTATCTGCACCTGCTTTGGTGTCTGTAGGCAATAAACCATTAAGTAGGAACATGGACTGAATTCTGAGGTATGAATTCAGGCTAAACTCTTACTGCTGTCAAAGGGAATTCTGTCCGAGTAACTTTATCGTCCTCTAAGGTTTATGTTATAAAAGGAAGAAAGGCTAAAAAAAAAGTCATTTTCTTTTGGTAATTAGTAATTTTGCTCCTCTTAGTATCACTAATCAGAGATCACCAATTTATTTTAAAAGAAGAAGCATGAAATCATGTCTCCTCACAGCACTTGTGGTGACCTTGAGAAAGCAACAGTTTATTCTTTGACTCTTAACCTTTGGTTTTACAATTCTAGCAATATTTTCTGATTCTTGTTAATTTATCATGGATTTTCTCCTCCTTTATAATTTTTTACATTTATTTCTGAAACCACACTTAAACTTTCAAAACTAAATGCTGGATAATGTAAAGAAATAAAGCAGAAAATGTAAAGAGTGGGGATAGTAGCAATTAAAAGTGTTCTGTAAATTACTGTTCCAATTTCATAGAAACTTTGGAAGAAACAAAAGGAAGAATCAAACATGCTGACCTTCAGTCTTAGAAGGATTTCTTTATACATACCTAAAAATAACTGCTGTGGAAAATGCAAATACAGAGACATAAATGAAAGAAATGATTAATTATTAATACCTTATGGTGATGACTCTTGAAAAGTGAATAGGCTGATGTTTTAGTCATATTTTTCTCATAGCTGAGTACTATGAAACATGTAGTATTCACTACACTGTATTATTTAAAACATATAGACTTCAATATATTCTGTTATTCCTTTATTTGTATTTTTAGATAGCATTTTCTAAACTTTCTAGCATTGCAGCTCTAGAGTGCAGCTCTACTTCTTGTCTTCTTTTAGTGCCATGATATTGGATATTGTGGAGATGAATATTTATCCTGTTATATGAAGTTGCAGAAACTGAACAAATAGTTAGGCAGTAACATCCAAATACTGTAGCATTTTAAAACAACCACCACAACCAAAAGTCCCATCAAAACTATTTCAAGGATGTATACGATCTCATTAAACCTGAAGGACCTTGATTAATTCTGTGTAAGAAAACAGCTTCTATAGAATATGTTGAGTAAACGTCTGTAATGTATATCTTCTCTTTTTTTTTTTTTTTTGGCTAAATTTGAGTAAGTTCTCAAAAAATATCTTTCCCTTCTCATTGCCATCTAATGATGTACATTTATGAGCTGTCTGAATTTCTCCATTCAACCGTGTTCTTCCTGACTTACGGGAAAGATGTGTTTGTTCAGTCTCACTGTTCAGCCAATACAGTAATGGGCATCCACTGTTACTGGCTGTCATGAAGAAACAGTTCCAGTTAAACCTACAGTCTTCATAAAATCAATGTACAAGCTTATATACAAGACCTTGCATAATAATCAGATCTTATGGGAAGGTTGGACAAGGATGTATGTTTCCTTGCTTTTTGATAAATTTTGATTTTTCGTCTCCCAACTTGAACCTCTACAATCCTCAGATAAAAATGTGCTTAAAACTATGATTGTAGAAGTTTTATTTGAATAATATTACTATTTGGAAATAAGGATTTTTAGGAATATAGACATTTCTTACAAAAGCTGCTTTAATTAAAAAGGAATTCATGAGAGGAAAATATTTAATCAGCCCAAAAAAAAATTATACAAATGAATAATGCAAGAGTTATCCTGATATACACAGGGGATCTCATAAAGAAGAAAACCTACTCTGAAAGTTATTTACTCTTTTTCCAAGTTAATGATTAGAAAAATAAATAGGTGCCAAAAAGATAAACGTGTTTGATTACTTCTAGCAATGCACTGCTTTCTTATATGTTATCCTGGAGAGCACTCAAGTAATTGCTCGAAAAGCATGTGCTGGAGTCTACAAGTTAAATTTCTGATGCCATTTAGTTAAATTGAATCATTAAATACTAGAGCTAGGGGCCTGATTCTCCTTTATACAAAAGTCTCTTTATATCACTCTGGCAGTACTGAAGGGCTGTAAAACAAGTAATGCAATTAATGCCTGACTGAATGCCCATTGGCACAGATTTGAACAGTGAAAAGAAAATCAACTTTCCCCAATTTTTTTGATTTTTTTTCTAAATGAAAAGTGCTATAACTGACTTAAAATCATTGCCTTCTCGAGTGTACTAGCTCACTGATTTTTTTTTTTAAATTTGACTTAAAACAGAGGTTTTCAGAAAGTGTTCAAAGCTATGAAGAAAAAGTTCTGAAGAAGTGTAAAAACTTGTCTAATTTGGGTTTAGGAACAGATTTTTAGCCAATTTTCAGTATAAGAACAATTATTTATGATAGAAATGCTGACATAACTTTACTAATAGCACTTCTAACATGTTGTTACAATGTCTATTTACTCAGGTACAGCATTAAATATGAGATGTGAACTCACCATAGCAACCCCTGCATCATATTGCAGATATGCTGCTTCTAAGCTACGGCGAAGGTTTCTGAAGAAATACACATGAATGTGAGGTAAACATCTATCAATTTCATATTGTGTTTCAGAAGTACTTTTCCATACAGAATAACAATAAAAAAGAAAACTTTATGATATTTAAATTAATACTTTATTACTGGGCTTTACTTTTCCTCGTCCCCTGTATATTTTTGCAAAATGTTTAGCTAACTCCCCAAATCTCTGTGACAAAATTGTGGCAAACATATTACCAAACTCCTCCAAAATGTTGTTATGAATCCCTTCATGCCCTTCACATGACCCACTTGTCCTTTTTAGTCCTTCTCCTGCTGATATCCTGAGAACTTACAAAAATTACTATTGTTCACTATAAGCTATTCAGTAGAATATGTGAATATATTTAGAAATGCAAGTAGATTTTCAGCTGAAATCTCTTTTAGATTCTTTTTATGCATGTGACTGTTTTCATTGTCCCTCTGATTTAATTTTCAGCTTGAATGTTCCACACATACACTATATATATTCTTATATTTTTTCTTTATTCTAGTTGTCGTCCCATCTTTTGTATAAATAAAGAAGTTCTTGCATTGTCAGAGTCATTGATTCTTTTTTACTTTAATGTTTTCATCCTTTTAGTAAATTTCCTGCGATAGATACAAACAATGGCTGTGTTGAATTTAATTTTAGTACTTTTTCTTTTAAGGTCTGATCCTAACTGAGTACAGTATTACTTTTCATGTTAAAGTGAAACAGGCTTTGGGTTGCCACTGATGTATCATTGACTTCAGCATCACTGAAATCCTTGGCAGGTTGCCTGTTCATAAAGATCAACATTAAATCATCTATGTAATGCCAAAAGCAAGTTCCTGATGATGTCCATCAGGCACCTCTTCCTCTTGCAGTCAGACTTTTGTGGCCAAACCTTCCTTAGACTTTAGCCAAAAGCTCATAGCAAACTTTTCTCCTGGAAAGAGTAATTTATTACATTTTTTTTGGTGATGTTAAACTACTGTATTCTTTCTTTCCAGCTCTCACTTGTATAGGAAGAACATGCATTTTCTCAAATTAGGTGGTAATATTGATAAAGAATATGCCATTACTGTGTTTTGCCATATTAAGTTTTCTCCTTAGGTTCTTTCATCACTGCTGGCCAGCATTGCTGATCCTGGGGCACATTTCCCAAGTGCTCTACACAGTCAGTTATGTGCCCTCGCTTGGGTGAAAGAGTATCACCACAACTGTGTGTAGCTCAGGGACTACAAGCTCCTCTCCTCTCTGGGTCTAGTCCTGGAGTGTGGTTTCCTACATGAAGAAGCAGGAAACCAAAAGAAGGCTGCTAAGTCTAGTAGTACTAAATTGCTACCTTTTCCTGTTTCTTCTCTCAAGTCTGCTTTAGCCTACCTGCATTAAGTATTTAATTTGTAAGTATCCTAGATATTTTAAAATCTAGGTGCTGAGTGTTGTTCAAAATGCAAACTGCAATATGCACTGCACTTGCAAGTTCAATACTTCAGAGAACATCAGCAACACCTCGTAAGTCTCTAACTTAAGCAATGTCTCTACCTTCACACCCAATATTGTCAGCAGAGATGCTTCCCTATAAGAAAACCATGCACAAATAAGAAATTTAGCAGAACAAACACTTAGTCCTGAGCCATAAGATCTCTGTCCACAACAATGTTAAAAAATGATACAGTTTTGTTATTTTCCTAGAAAAATAAGCCTGGCCAGCCTTATTTCTAATTTTAAAGGCACTTTCAAAGGTTCATCTGGCACTGTTTCCATTTTAATCCTATTTCAGGATTTCTGGATTATACAAGTCATGTGAAGAATACAGTCACCTGAACAAAAAAATGAATAAAATCCTTGTTTTTATGGATATGCATAAAGATGCATATAAGATGGTTATACATAAAGATGTATATACAATGGATATAAGGAAATATATGAAATTTCCTATAAGAGAAATTTAAGGAATTTCCTTTCTTAAAGGAAAGAGAAATTCTCTCTCTTTCTCTCTTCTTTGAAAGAAATTTCAAGATATATAAACAATGTATTCAAGATATATAAACACTTCAGAGTAACATCTTTTTTTTTCTGTTTATTAGTCCCAATAATAAAATCTCAATCTCTTAAACGTCTATGGAAAAAAAGATGATTTAATAGATGCAACAGCTATGGTTCATACCTTAGATGTCATAGATATTAATAAAGAAATCTCTAAAGCGTTAATATAGCTAGAAGTTCAGTGTTATATAATAATTAACAAAAATGAGTCCTATTAAGCAGCTATAACCTGCTCTTTGTTATATCCTCAAAATGCATGGATTTTTTAAGAAAAAAAAAAAAGATTTTCCTAATTAGACTTTGGAACAGACTCAGACAAAATATTCTTTAGGACTTTTACTTTGTCAGAGGTGAGGTGCAGTGAATCAGTAGGAGAAAAACTAACATTATATCCTTGGTTACACCATCCTCGCTGTTACTGAGAAATGTGCCAATAGTCACAGATTAGGCTTAATGTGCTACTGTCATCAAATTGTTGAAATTTTTGTCTTTGAACATACATTTTCTTTCATGCTCAAATAATGTATTTTTTCCTTTGATACAGAAAAAGTAATGTTCTAAAACTCACAGGCTTCTGTGAAAATTTGCAATCCTACATTGCTGAAATTGTGGATCAAAAAAGCAAAATATCAAGGAATATAACTCTGAAAACTTATGCACTTTTCACTGTGTTGATGCTGGATGCCACTTGTCAAACCCTGAGTGCCTCCTCCTGTCCTCTTTCACTCTCTTCCATCAATTGCACTGCCTCGTGTTGTAGCAATGTCGTTCACTCTGCTGCTTTCAGAGATCCCAAAACCTGTATATTATCAGATATTTTTTGATAAATACTTGCTAGATAATCTGCAATTAATACTAAAATGAAAATATGCCAAGGAGAAATATGTTGACTCTTTCAGTAAACTGAGGAGTTCTTTGCTGCCTTTCTTGGCTCTAGATGTTAGAGTGGTTTCATGAACAGAGTTATGAACTAACACTTGCATGAACTAATTGCATTTGGGCATAGTCTATGGAGCAGTATTATTAAACATTAAACACAATATTCCTCCCCAAATGTATGATTACGTGAATATATTCCATGTTTTTTAGGGCAATCAATTCATTAAAGGTCTAATCTTGATTTCTTTATCAAATACCTTACACGTCTTCTTTAACCTTAAACTAACTAATCAGTCTAGGGGGTATTATGTTTTAACTGATTTTCATAGTAATTTTGCTGAAACTGCTGGTTTAAAAAATGTGTATATAGATCCTAAAGACCTCTCAAAATACAGAAATTTATGTTTAAAATAACAGTGGAAGCTTAAGTTGACAGGGTACTGACTACAAATGGTCAATTTGCACAAATCAGAGCAATATCATGTTCAATATCATGTATCATTGTTGCATTCAATATGCAGGGCAAGTGACTTTTTACATATAATTGTATGTGAAATAATGAGCAAATTTTAGAAAACAAACAAAGAAATATATTCACTCTCCCTATCACTACTGTTATATGTTAATTTTACTTTTCTAAAACTAAACCATTTCTTCTGGAAGTTGTATTAATGAGGTTTATTTCTTCTTCTTTACCTGATTACAGGCACATTTATCACCGGTTTATTACAGCAATAACTTTCAACTATTTTAAAGTTATAGAACTGTAGTGAATTTCTACTGAAAAAGGATTCTCTGTAGTGAATTTGATCCTACAGACAGAAGTCTTGCACTTCCTAGATACCTTTCCTGGGCCCTTAGAATCTTCAGTCATGTTAAAAGCTTAAAACTACTGCTATCTTCAATAAAATCTCTGCTGCCACTCTGGAATCCCCAAGTTCTCTCTTTGCTCAGCAGTAGGATTCATGGTCCTGTCGGCACTAGGGAAACGCTGCTGAACGGTTTCTTGTCATCCGTCCTCGGCAATAGCACCTCTGCATTCATGCATTCTGTGATGCTGATGTCTGTTTTCTTTTTAACTTCAGTGTCACCTGGACTTGATTTTAAACTGACTGGTTGACCCAGTGTACATTCCCCACTTCTGTGATGATGAACGAAGTGTACTATTTTCTGTAAATATTGACAAGAGTTGCAATGTGGCCATCACCATATTCACTTACCTTTGAATTCCTACTTGAATGGGAAAGTTTCTATTTTTAACTATTTATATTGAAAATTGGCACTTGTACAGAGCAGAGCTCTAATTTTGATCTCTATATCCCAGCTGGCATGTGTATCAGTCTTGCATCTCCAGCCTCTTCTGCACAAAAATGAGTAACAACAAAAATCTACAAAGAGATAGAATGAATTCTGGTATAACTGTTGTTACAGATATTGATTGAATGAATCCTCTCATTAAAAATTAAGTCACATCCTAGGTATCCTTTAATATCTTTATCTAGCTTTAGTATACTCTCCTCACAAGAATATATTTCCTCTTTTTGTTTCCTCCATCTGTTTTCTTCCCAATACAAATATGCTGCTTTACCTGACAGCGTATTTTACCTGTTTTATCATGACCTGACGTTATAAATTATTGTTTTATAGCATTTACATTTTGTTTTCTTTAAAACTTCATTTACTTCTTTCTTTCTGAAAAAAAGAAATCCCATTTACTTTTTAAAAATTAAATGACAGCATTTATGTGGTTCAAAGAAGTATCACAAATCTTTCATTCTTGCCATCTTAGATATTGGGACAATGTGACATATTTTTCTTTACATTTGTGCTTTTGCATGATGCATGATTTACAGTATTTGCAAAAAAATGCTTCCTTCTCTTTTGCAGCAAATATTTCTGTTAGACATCACATAGTAATTACTTATCAGTGATGTTTAAAATAAGTTAACTTAAGAGATTGATGTTGTATACCTTAATGCTGAGTACGAGCCAAAGTAAAGGGATATCCTGAGTACTGAGCAGCTTCAGAAAATCACTGGGTCATTCCCACAGTATTATTGATATAAATGGTCAGTTTTTAATATTGACAGTTCAAAGTAAGATCTGTCAC